ACTTGAGCCCACCTGAATAGACAACAGTTTTAAAATGTTACGCTAATTCAAATCACAGAGTATCTATGAGTAACCATCACACACAAGCTCACTTTTTTTAACTTATCTTGTTATATGTCTTTTACGATGTTATTTTTCTTTTCTACAGATTTTATCTGAAGCTTATCTTTTGCACTTTGCCTTACTCCTGTTGATTTCTTACCTACTCCTGGCCTCCTCCAGCTCTTCAGCACTATTGACAACCTCCTCCCTCAACACATTCAAGTCCCTGTCTTTGAGAGCCAGCTCCTCACGGAGCTCGCCACACTGTTGATTCAGCAGCTCTTTTTCCAGGTCCGTCTCCTCAAACTGCTCCTCGGACAGTTTACTCCTGTCCAGATCTCCACATGTGGAGTTGTGAAGCCACTGAGACAGACTTGGAGGATTTGAACTGTCAGTCCCGGGGTCATGGCACTGTGGGATAGAGAGGCTGTTGTTTTCATCGAGGAGACGGTTTGAAATTGAAAGCAGGGGCTCTTCACCCAAGACTTCACTGTTGAGCTCAAAACTATAAAGAGAGGAAAAGAGATACATTATGGATATGAGGCATGCAGCATGGAAATAGACCAACACTCATAGAGATTAACTGCAATAGGAAGTCCTCTCACCTGTGGTCTGCAGAGACGTCCAGCTGACTGCAGTGTTCAAAGCTTTCATTGACCAATGAGGACTGAGAGTGTGCGAGAGGAACCGAAAAAAAGTATCTCTCCATCATAACGTCCCCATGTATTGATACATTCATGCTGTCTTCATTGGGTCCACTTTCCAGATTGTCCATATCTGCACTAATACTTTCATCACAACTAAAACCAGCTTTTGCTTGGTTCTGTCGATTTTTAGAAGCTTTAAGTCCCATGACCTCTTCTTCTCTGAACTTCAGTTCTTTCTCCCTCTCCTCCAGCAGCTGCCTGACTCTCTCCACCTCCTCCCTATGTTCCTCTTTGAGCATCTGCATCTCCTCTTCTTGTCTTTGTCTTTCCTCCTCGAGGCTCTGGAGACGAAGGGCAGAGGTGGCCACCTTTTCACTTAATTTCCTCTCTGCATCTTCTTCCTCCTGAAGTCTTTTCCTCAGCTCCAGAACTTCTCTGTTCAGTTTCTCCTTCTCCTCTTTGCATTGCTGCATCTCAAGGCACTGGGACTGGACTTGGCTCAGTTGGTTCTGGAGGTCTTGCAGCTGTGCATCCTTTTCTTTTCTCTCCTCTTCCCTTCCGTTCTTCTCTCTCTCCAGTAAAGAAAGCACATGCTGGTGTTTCTCCAGCTCCTCAGAGAGTTCAGCACATATGTGTCGACTCTTTTCTCGTTCTTCTTCCAGCTCAGCCCTCAGTTTGTGCACAACAATGTCCATGTCGGGGTCACTGTCACTGTTGAAGCCTTCGACACTTGATTGAGAGGCAGGTCCTTCACTTCCTGATCCCTCTGTTGGTGCCTCCTTATGATTGATGTCTGCGTCTCGGGAGCTGTGGCCACTTTGAAGCTGTTGTCGATGAGTGTTGAGGACTTCAGAATCTGACTGGCTTTTGATTCGCAGAAACTCTGCACTGGTCTGCATGAAAGACAATTCAGATAATATTGTTTTGGTGACTTCCACATGAAAAGTGCATTGATAAGGCTGATATCCTTCACAGTTTAAGCTTTGAGTGACTCTAACCTGTTGGAGCTGCCTCTGTAGAGCCTGAATCTGTCCAGCAAGTGACTGTGCCTCCAGCTGCACCTGGTCTCTGCTGGCCAGTGCCTCCTGTAGGTTGGAGCTTAGCTTGGCAATTATGTCATTACGCTTCTCCACAGCCTCTTGTAATTGCTGCAAGTATAAATCAATTTCATAATCACAGAAATACACACAGTCATACATGGACATCTTTCCTCAGGCAAAGGGTAGTACAATTTGAGAGCATGGAATGTATTTCTCAATTAAAGCAGCCCTAAGATGAAAGTAATAACAAATAAACTAAAGCTAATTCTTTTTGAACCATCTAATTGAGCATTGACAACCTTAACATGAAAACAGAAGTATAATAAAGAGACTATGCACATAACAATAATCTACTACTTTTGTAATATGAAAAAGAATGTGGGATCCTGTCAAGATAATTTAAAGTAATTTTACAACAGCTTCATGACCTGAGGAAAACCTTTTTTACCACAATTCTCTACATAGACTTTCATATTATAGATGTACTAAGCTGCATTTTCAAATCAGTGCAGCCAAGCAGAAGTGGAGACAGTTACATTTGCCATTGGGTTGGTGATGACACAGACACAGAAATTCACAAGCCCTATAAAACCCACTCGCAGCAACACCATACAAAGACTTCCATCGTCTCAGTGTTTAAACAAAGTACATGTATAAAGACAAATCAATCCGTCTGCTAAATACATGGCAACATGGTATGTAAACAGGAACACTGATTTATAAGATCACTTAGGGCTCTGTTTATCATGTGAATTTGGAGCCTAGGATTTCAGTGCCAAGTATGAATCTAAGATCAAACCCATCTTTACCTTTCCTGGTACTTTTTAGCCTTTAAAAGTAAAATACTTCCAATCAAAGAGAATAATACCACTATATTATATTGTAATCCAAACATTATATATCCTTAAAGTGCAGTAATTCAATATGCTATTTAAACGTTTAATTATTGACATTATACCTTAAGCTGTTCTTTGCCAGTAAGTGCAAGTAGCTCCTCATGTCCAAGCTCTTCCACAGGGGACAGGCTTTGCTTCAGGGTGGGGGGCTCATCCATCTGTCTTTGTTTCTGCTGAACCACAGATTTCTGTGATTTGTGAGGTTCCTGAAGGATAAGATAGTTTTAGAATTGAGCATGGTTTACTTCCTATTTTGCAACATGCCACAAATATGTACGTAGTTCTATTGTGGGTGAAGTTTTTCTTTAAAAACGCAGTACATAGTGCCACAGTTAATCTTGGCCAGGTTGCTATGACAACACACCCTACAGGCAACAAGATGGTTAGTGACCCATTTTTCTAATGTATGTTTACAGAGCAGGGGGCACGGACCACTTGTTAAAGCATACAGTGAGCAAACAAAATCAGACAAATTGTGGAGGTCGGTTCGTGTGAACCGTGAATAAAACTGAGTGAATTCATGCTGTTCAGCAGTTGTGTGTGATGTACCTCATGGTTGGTCTTTCTGTTCAACTCTGTGTCAGTGGCTGATGGAGGTACTGGTTCTACGTGACGGTCTTGCGTTGAGCCGTCATTCGTCGGGACAGTCGAGCCCTTCCTCTTCGGCGTCTTTTTCGCCGTCCCCGCACTGTCGCTTTTCGCCCGCTTCTGTCTGAAGCTAGCAAGCTGCGCAGGAAGGACAACGATAGGTAGATGGACACGTAGGTTAGGACAACTGAGCACCACCACACGATCAGCATGGTGAAGCTCAGGGGTCAAAGGTGAGAGACAGCTAGAGTCCAGAATAATGTCCTCATTTGAAAAAAGTAATCAAATCATCATTGTGAGATCATTAAGCAAGATTGTTGATAGTTCCCACTGCAGAAAAGAATAATGATCAAAAGCCCTTATTTTGATGAGTCAGGATAGAGCAAAAAAGGACAGTACCCAATGAAGCAAGAAGAAATCCCACAGTCACACCCAAAATAGACAGAATCATAACCTTGCAAGTTTAGAACGAGGTGACGGTGCTAAATATTCTCAAATCTCCAGATAGCAATTAAAAGCCCATGAGAAATACAGTGACACACATTGGACGACCTCTCTGCAGATGAGAAAAGGAGCAATGTATAGAATATTAATAAAAAATAAATAAAAAGTAAACATCCATTTCCTTCACTTGGGATTTTTCAGTTTGTAGAAATGTCAAAATCAGACTCATAGACTGAAGCTTTTTGAAACAACAAAAAGTCTGCTCTGAATAACCAAGGACAAAAACATTAAGACTCTAAGCCTGAGAAGTTCATCAACATTAAAAAAACATCATCCACAATCCAGCCAGGATATTTAGTTTGAATTCCAGAGTGACCGATTTGGTACAAATCCACCTCAGTCCGTCGCTCTCTCTCTCTGAGCCTCCATCTCTTCTTTAAGCAGCTTAAATCAGATTACAGCATCCACATTGTGACAGACACCATCATGAAGTCCTCCATCAATGACTGACAAATCAATCAGTGACTCCCTGTCCTGCTGGCGTTCAGACGTGTCATTTCTTCCTCATCAGGTCAGCTGCTTTACTGTCCAGTTGTAGATCTTCCAGTTTGAATGCCCCAAAGCTCATTTGACCCAACCCCTCACCCTAAAACTCACTGCCACACCAACGAACAGAGCAGAGGGATCCACAAACTCTGGATAGGGGATGGCATGTGTCTAGACTGAGGAAGGAGGGTGGAGACTGGGAGATGTACTCACATGGAGAGGAGGAGACAGAGCTCAGTGTGAGGAGAGCAGCATCAGAGTGTGCATGCTCAATTCAATATGAGATTACATGTCCTTGGGAGAACTACTTGTTGCTTTGTGCAATGAGTCACATACATGTGCATGGCAACATATTGTGTGTATGCATGTGCACCAATGTTTATACTACATGTCACATGCCCGATCATAATCCAGATTGAAGGTTTGCTTTAGGGCAATACAATGCATCCACCAACCACCATCTTCTTTGTTTGACTTCTGAAACCAGTTTAATCATTCCCTCAGCTCCACAATTCAATCTCTTCCCACCTCACATCATTTATCTGCTTTCTTTCCCCTTATTAGTTAAAACCCCACCCTTTGTGTCCTTTCATCACCAGATTCACCGCCTCCGCCTGCCACAACACTCATCACATCTTTGAAAGATACATCAGCCAGATGAGCTGTGTTTAGCTCAAGGCCACTCTTGCACTATTGAGAGTCAGACTAACTAGCTGGCTGGAGCTTACTGTGGCCAAATCACGTTACTGGACTGAATACTAACATTGTGTTCAACAATGTCAGCAGCAAGACACATCACAAGATGATTCTGTGGATTTTATGTTTACAATTGTGCTTTTACTCATGTAAGTTTCATATATATGTTCCATGCTTTCAATGTGGCAGAGAAATCACAGCCTTTTGATGCACTGAATACAGTAGAAGCAACGGACAGCAAGGCATCACCATAGCAACACCATTCATGCAGCTTCAAGTGCAATATCCAACCTAACCAAATCTCATGGGCTCACTGCACCACCTGATGGCCTGCAACCAGCATCACAGCATATGCAAGGCGAGCCGCTATATTAGACATTCAAATATAAAAAGGCACTGCAGACTTCCTTTCAAGTTTACAACCTTGAAAAATCTGCATTGTGAATCATTCTTTAAAGAGCAAAAGGCCTAAGTCTCAAAAATTGACAACAATTACATCATAGTGACGGAAAGCAGAAGAAAGCCCTGATTGCCCACTTGAGAGAAACAAAACGGGTGGTGTCATTAATAAATAGTCCACAAACCAACGATCCCAGACAGAGTCAAATGCCAATGACCAGTTAACATACTTACCGTCTGGTTTCGTGGCATGTTGGATGATTTCTGTCATATGGAACACCAGGGTTTTAGATGAATTGTTTTTTTCATAGCATTCAGCATTGTTATTCATCAGTCTTATATTTTCAATGTGCTCCACCATGACATAGAAATGACCTACATCATCTTCAAATGCAGTTGAGTTAGATCACAACTGACCTAGATTTAAACCTAGCCTATAGACAAAGTGGTGTGATTGTTCATATAAGTTCATTCTTGATTATTGGCCCATTAATAATATGGTCTCACATTGAACTATGGGAGCACCACAGGAAAACCCCTCAGACTAAATGTTTAATGGCAGCTCCTTTTGACTAGGCACATTATATTCCTATAACATGGATGTATACGTTGGAGAAGTTTCTACAAAAAGATTGAATATTGTGGTGTACAATATATATTCTTGAAATGCAGCATTAGACAGTTACTCCAATCATAGTGCCAAAATAACAAAACAAAATACATAGCCTCAGTTTTATATTATGGCCTTAGCTTTGAATTGGACTTTTTTTTAAGGTAAGCTCTTTTAACCTTGCTTTTATATTTATTTAACTATTACACTGCTGAACAGACCGATTTCAACAACTTTCATTTTACTGTTGACCCTGTGTTAACTGCACATGACAAATACAACTTGAAACTAAAACATAGGTTGTACTTGCAATGTGCCTTGATACAGAGTTATGTTCAAATATCATTTTTTAAGATTTCACAGTTTAGAAATAAAATCCTTGGTGTCTAAACGTGTAGATACTTTCCCCTGTTGGACTTCAGGTGTATCCAGATTGATTACTTCATCTAATTATCCGGTCATTTTACTACGTGAGTGTTATTGTTATCGTTAGCAATGTGCAGCCTCAGCTAATGTTAAAGACGCGGGCATGTGCGCGGTAAATGAAGTAACTTATGAATGCCTGTCATTCAAAGAGTGACTGGACTCTGAGCAACGACAAGCAAAACACACGTACACACAGTTTGGAGGTGGTGTAGCAGCAGCTAGGAGAGTTAGCGGGGGATAAATGCAAAGCTGTGACAAAAGAGTTAGCTAACTGCTAGCATAAAGTGAGCGTTCAATCTCAGTGACAAACCTTAGCTCTCCCCGCTTCTAGCTTCCTCCGCCGTTCGTCTTCATCCATCTCTCGGTTCAAACACAACCATTAAAAGTCCAGGACAGACGCACTAATTGAACTGAAGCTCAACTTCTAACACAAGTTCGCTAAAACAAAATCTTGGAGCTTCCTCGGACAAAACTGTCAACAGATAATATTAAATATGGCCGCCCAGACGTATAACTCCGCCCTTATCGAGTTTGCTTGAATAAACGGGCCAATCAAATCGCTGCCGTCAAGGTCGTCAGCCAATGGCGTTGAGGTTGGTTAAACATATCCGTGCACCACTAATGACCCGCCTCATATGTTATACGTCACTCAAAATCAGAATCTAACTGACCAATGAAATGGCCGTGTCGTGTGAGCAAGGTTGGAGTTCCTGCTTTTGTAGCCAATCAGGGCAGATCAACATAAAACACACCTCCGTTCACTTTGAACTGGAACGTGCAGACCTTCGCTTAAGGAATAGTTTCTATGGAAACGGAACAACCCACAATACTTTACTTATCAATTGACTTTACACAAAGTACAGTGACCAGAAAAGTGACACCTTCACTTTTGCATATTTTTCACAGTTCTAATATATGAATACTATGCAATCCCACATTGGCTCCATCATATTTGTTGCAAGGATAGTTCTTTATGCCACTGTCTTTATATTAGTGGCCGAGGACATGCTGATGAATAAGAATCTGAACATCTGAAGTGCCTTAAACCCTATTTACACTTTACTATAACCAATGACAATGAAGTATTTCGTCCAAAACTGTGTCAAAAGATTCACGCTGCAGTTATTCAAACCACAACGATTGCTATCATTTGTGTTATTCGTAGGTTACCTTTATTTATCTGTATTTTTCTTACTGACATTAGCACAGCATAAGCCCAAGTCGGGAATCGTTTTGTTTCTAGTGTTGACCGAATTTCTTTAGGTACTAAGGAACAGCCTATAGGTTGCCATTCATCAATTTATCTAACTATTTATTTAGCTGATTTGTCAATAATATTTATTGTCGGAAGATTCACACTCTTCCCTCTCTCTCACATAGAGACGAGCAGGTATGCAAGTCATGGTCAAGTGCCAGTTGTAAACAAGTGTGTCTCATGGCAACCTCACTCACTCAAACACACAGGCCAACACAAAGTTTGTGTGACTCCAAATGTCAAGATTTCAGGTAAAGTAAGCATTTACCTGGATGTCTAGTGTTGTAGCGATTATTGTCAATCCAGTACTACAGCACATGTTATAATAACAGTTTCTTCCTTTGTGACATTTTGTAGGATGGCAGCTCCACAGTTGACCAGATGACAAGACTCAAACTCAGACTACTGGAGAAGGTAGGTGAGAGGATAGCCTGGAATTTACAGGAGGCTATTTTGAGATTATATTGAGATTTATAATCAACATCTTCAAGAAACCTTCTTTACTTATATTCCTAGAGACTGGAAAACGAAAAGAACAATATGGACGACAGAGCAGAGTCTGCACAGTCTGCAAGTAAGATGACAAAGAATTATTTGTGATGAAGAAAGTTGCTCATCATCTTCACTAGCATGAACAGAAACACTTACATAAAAGAAGAATTCAATTTATGTTAAATAAGTATTGTACAAAGAAAACATAAAATAATCTTACTGTAAAAGTTAACCTGATAGTAAACTGATGTGATGTTGAAGAAGTCTTGGGAACTGAAGAAAAGAAAGTAAGTAAGTAAGTGAGCAAGTAAAGGATTTTAAGAAGACACTGCAAAGATAGACGTGGTCGACATGGGTGATGATAAAATATTGCAAGGTTTAGTTTGTGAGAACATGATTTTGTCTGCACAGGGAGTTATGATGGGCATCTGGATGCATTGCACGGTGCAATGAGGCGAAAGCAGGACCTACTGCAAAGACTGAGGGTCAGAACAAATGCTTTTATTTTTGTGTTCCAAGATTATACTTTATACTTTATTTACACATTGCTTCCATTTAAAGACTACAGAAATAATGTAGAGCAAAAGCAGGAAGTTCCCAAGAACTAATAGTGTTTACTGTTTCACTTGTAACTGTGTCAATTCCTGTAGGAGCAGCATATGTTAGGAGATCTTCATAGACCTCACACCTGGGCAGGGTCCAGAAGACAGTACCAGTCTCATTTCGTCACTGTCCCACCGCCACCACCACCACTCCCATCCATTGTACCCACCCACATCCACCACCCAGCCCCAGCTTTTCCCTTCCTGCCACCTCCACCACCTTTTGCTCCTCCGCGCATCATTCAAAAGACTGTGAGGCACTCAGCATTAATCTCAGAGACAACCCAGACCTGTTGGCTTTGTTATTGTTTCAACTTGCAATCAGGCCAGGAATAGTTTTAGAATAGTGCAAATTAAATATGCAAAATTAACCATGTCCTCCTCTTTTTCTTTTTCTCTTCAGCTCCCCCAGCAGCCTGCCACCATCATTCAACAGCTGCCCCAACAGCAGCCTCTGATTGCTCAGATTCCTCCACCTCAGTCGTTTCCTGCTCCACGTTCAGGCAGCATCAAAGAGGGTATACATGAGCAGATAGAGATAAAGCTTGTTTAAGTCTCCCTGTATATTTTATATACAGAACATGTGTTTGTGTATGTTGCATGATAGACATGGTGGAATTGATGTTGATGCAAAATGCCCAGATGCACCAGATTATAATGCACAACATGATGCTGAAAGCCATGCCTCCCACGGCCCTGTTGCCAACCAGGGGACCCGATATCTGTGCCACCCATGTTGGACAGGTAAACACAAACACATCACACATTTTTCAGACATTTTCCTGGGGGCTGGCAAGAAACGTTCCATTCCGCAGCTTTAGATTCAAAGCACAACATTTCCACTTGTAACAAAACTGTCATCTGAAAATCCTATTTTTGTGCAGCCAGATGTCAGGACAAGAGGAGGTGCTGTCCATCATCATCATCACTATGGTCCTAACCCTGCAGCAACACAGCTGCCTCCTATCAGTTACCCTCCATGGTTATCATCAGGCATCCCAGCAGGACACGCAGGGGGTCACCTACACTCCCACCACTCAATGCGTAAGATTCCTTAACTGCACACAGACAAATATTTTAAAAGGTAACATCACATTGCTCTGATCCATGCTTCTCTCCACTGGCTGAATTGTTGTGTGCCTGCATGCAGTCTTAGATCCTCAGGTTGAAAACTAAAGGTGACTGTGCCATCAGGGACCCTTGGCATTTGAGCCTACCTGAGGAGATGAGGCTTGCAGAGTCTAAACTGAAAAAGCATATATTTATTTTTATTAATATAATTATTATTTTTCACTAAGACACACATTTGTCTGTTTCTTTACAGGACCCAGGTTTCTCTCTGAGAATCCCTGGTTTTAGGTTGAAAGGACGAGAATCCCTGGATGCAGAGCAGTGGTCAAACATTATGAAAATAAAACTTGCTGGACTGAACACATTGGGCATTATGCACCAGTGGAGTTACTTCCACTTGTTATTGTGGACATGAATTATGTATGAATGGCAGACAAATAAATCCAGATAATAAACAGGGACACTACTGCTCATCAAACTTTTTATTCTCGTTTTGCTCGTTGTTAACTCCCGTGTAAAACTCTTCTGTTTGTTTTTCTCTTTCGGTTAAAAAAGGGTTAATAAAGATTGAAGGTTCAGAGAAAAAGACGTTCGCCCGAACAGGGACTTGAACCCTGGACCCTCAGATTAAAAGTCTGATGCTCTACCGACTGAGCTATCCGGGCTCTGAAAACATGGGCGGTATATCATGGTATTTATAGGTAGGGAGAAACTGCTAGCCAGATAGCTGTTACCTTCTTGTGCATGTATACTAAGCGAAGTTAAAAACTAGCCGGTTAGCAACTAGTCCGTTAACTGTTAGCGACTAACTTCGCTTAGCGCACGGGTACTAAAGAGCTAACGGGCTAGTTGCTAACCGCTAATGTGTTAGCCTTCAGTCCTTGCTGGTGTCGCCGTTCAGACTTCTCGCGACAGTAAAATTTACTTTAGCATTAACATAGACTGTATATAAAGGGAGTGTTAACCAGCAAGTCAATGACTGTCATCATAAAACCTCCCTCAACACCTCGATCGTTACTTAGATTGCAGCTGTACGAAATGGTATTTTACAGGATCTACAAAACAAAACAAAACGACAGTGATCACTTTTTTAATCTAAATGTACAGCATTGAACCACAACATAACGTCAATCATCATGACACTTCCCTTTTCATAGATAAAATAATTTAAAAAATATATGAAACAAACAATCCACATTGAGTGAGACCCTCAGTATTAACAAATGATTAAAGTGCATACTTCTTTTAAAGAACTGCGGCTTAATGTCGGGCACAGACGACAGTCATGCTGTGAGTGATCAGGGTGATGTATGTACAACTCTGGATTATTGTCATGCACTTGTGCTCAGGGGCTTCTTGTATGACAACAAATCAGTATTCCATGCTTTACACAGCCTCGCTTGCCCGCACGTAGAAAAATAGAACGAATAAACAATAAAACAGTTACACAGAACAACCTGGGTGAAATCCAATGAAAATGTGCTCGCATACAGCATCTCTGGTGAGACATAACAAAATTGTGTTAATTTGATGAATTCAGTATTCTGTATAGTTGCTGTGACTTTACCTGATAACATTTATTTACAGTGCAATACGTGCACAATACCAGGCTTCTTTGTACAATCTATCAAACTGGGCCAAACGTCAGGAAAATTTCATAACATTTTCAAAAGGTCAGCTGAACTTTGTAAAGCAATGACTGCAGAATAGAATTAAAAATAGACAGAGATGCAAGCTGCACAGGTTTCTGCTGTTGATACCAGAGCAGATATACACAATGAAAGTCTGTGTGTTACCAACATCTTTTTGAACACATTCTGGTTAAATGCTGTTATTATCAGACACAATAGATCGAAACGTTACTTCTCATGACATCTGATTTGTAAAAGAAAACAATTTGGATTACTGTGATCACCTTGTGGTCAAACTGTTTCTCAGGAGTGTTCAGAATTATTATTAGATCGCAGCAACGCAAACACTTTCATTATGTGAGACATTATAAAAACTGTAGAGTTATGTAACGTTATCAATGGTAATTCTAAATAACTTGATCCTGTAGGTCCTCT